GGCTGTTGGTGGCTGCGGGGCGGGTGGGGGAGGGCTGCGTGGCCGGCTCTCGCGAGAGCGCGGCGCGAGGACTTGGCGGCCCAGGGTCCTCAGGCATGAGGCGGCCCGCTGAGGAACGTTCCCGGGGCGTAGGCACACAGCGGGACACGAGCAGCAATTGGCCAGAGACGGTGGAAAAGTATGAGAAAGGGGAGTGGGAGTCCGCCCTCAGCCAGGGAGTCGGAGGCCTTGAGGAGAAGGAGCCCTGCGGGGGAGTGGGCGCCCAGTCCTTTCTGACGAGGGAAAGGGAGCGGGGACTCCTTTGCTTCGCGGAGGGACAAGCGGAGGGACAAGCGGAGGGTTCTGTTAGCTCAGAAGTACTCGAGTGGTCGTGGCCACGGGCGGGTGTCCTGTGGGAGGCGACCCTCGGGGACCCACTGCCTTCGCGGGGGTACCGGGCGAGGCAGCGTTGGGCCCCCCGCCCGCGGGCGCTCCAGTCAGTCGGCCGGTTCCTTCCCTCGGGGCTGCGCTGGGCGCCCATTTTCGCCCTGCGGGTTCTGGTTGCCCGGAGTCCCGGGAAGCCGTTGTGGGCGAATATGCTGGCCAGCCCGCTTTCTCCCTCTGGCTGGTGCCCGCCAGAGGTGTGTGGGGAGGGAGGCTGTCCCAGGCTCCACGTCTTCCCTTTTGTGAAGCCCAGCGCTGTGCCGCCCGCACCTCCCCACCTCCTGCTGTGGACAAGGTGTCAGGCAGGGTTTTAGGCATCTGGCAAGTTAGTGGGCGGGACAACAACAAAAAAACCCAAAACAACCCTGAAGGGGGGTGGGGGCAGGTGGCCTACTAGGAAAGCCCAGGTTAGTACTAGGCTGCCTTTCTCCGGGAACGTCAGGAGCACAGGTTGCACAGTGGGTTAGGTGAAGGAGGCACGAGAGACGCTGGCACCTGGTCTATTCCAGGTCTATTCTCCTAGCTTACTTTCCGTCTACTTCTTCTGATTGTACTTACTGAATATCCGTTTGGCTCCTGACAAACGGTGTGAAGTGGTGGGCAAAAAACGGGACCCCCAGCCACCCCTGAGCTTTCAGACTGGTGGGAGGCAGCAATCAAATAATCCACTGACTACTGTACAGTGGTAATTGCGGCATGTACCACCAAGAAAAGGAATGTAGTGTGGAGGATCTCTGTATATTAGGAGGATTTGCTACAATTAGGAATTAGGAGGTCTCACAAGGAATCTCTAAAGAAGTGATGGCAGGGATGAGATCGAAGCAGGAGTGAGAGCTGACAAGGCAAAGTCGAGTCCTCACAGAAACCCTACAAAGCAGATGGTATGACCTCCATTTTAGAGTTGATGACATTGAGACCTCAGCCAGGTGATTTAACTCCTCTAAAGTTATTTTCGACGAGTGTTAATTTAGGATTCAGGCTCACATAAGAGTAGACTCCTTGCGCTATTTGGAGGTTTTAGGAGAAGCAAGTGTCACAAGCAATATGGGGACACTATTGAGTAGGGTTCACAAACTCGAAAGCCTACAGGGCTCAGGGGAATGTCATAAATGAGAGAACTGGCAGAACGTAAACGGTAGGGAATGACAGGGACTGTAGTGATTAAAGCCACAGTTTTTGTGTAAAGGAAAGATCATGTGAAATCAACACACATAAAATACATTTATCTGTCTTTTCTGCATAATCTAAGCTCTGTGCAGTAGGTTCTCATCCTACGGTGCTGTCCAGTCTCTGAAGCTCTTTGACTTGTTTGCACAGTTTTAGATTTGAAAGCATTTTTCTATTCACTTTCTTACTTTGCCCACCAGCTCCCTCTTGGCTCTGTACTTGCTTCTGACATGTCTGTTGCATGAAGAGTCCTCAGTAATGCTCTCCCATTTTCCAGTAGCATCCGCCTATGTTTAGACATACTATTTTTGTAACCTTCCACTCTTTGTAGCTTAGTTCCTTCCCAAGCCAAGGTGGGTGGCACCATAACTTGGTTTCCTGCCTTTATCTAGCCTATTTTATAGTTAAATAGACTTTTGTTGTTATTGGTTTGGCTCTCACAGAGGACTTTAGTGTGCTGATCTTAGGCCTACCATCACAAACAGGCACTGCTCCTTGTACTCAGTCCATCCCCTGATAGGCTGCCCCAGCTGCTGCTTGCCAGGAGAGACACATGGTAAGTTTAACTACTTTCCCAAGACCTCTTGCTCCAGAAGATAACATATACATCCACAGACTTCTGAAGTTCCTATTTCATCATAGACTCGAGCAAGAAAACACCTCAAATCAGCATGGGATGTTAACAGCTCCTCTTAGAGCAGAGGGTTACAAGAGCTTGCTCTTTATTATTATTTTTTGGTTTTGGTGTCCTCTAAGTATCACACAAGTATATATATATACATATATATATACATACATATACATACATACATATATATATATACATATATATATACACACACACATATTTAATGGAAAATTTCAAAATTATAAAAAATATACATTGGAGAGTTAACTCATGTTCTCTTTCTCCAGTTTTAACAATTAGCAATTCATGACCAATTCTGTCTTCCTTATACCTCTATCCATTTTCCCTGATTTTGGAATCTTTTGAAGTAATTCCTAGATGTCATATTATTTCAGTTATAACCATCAGAATGTATTACCAAAAAGTATGATCCCACTTTAAATATAATTTCAATATGGTCATAAAGCTTCCCCAATAGCATCAACAATTTCTAAGTATCATCTTTTATAAAAAGCTTATTTATTGAAATAGTTTGCAGAAGATTATAGATGGTAGACAGGTACAATGAAAACTATATTCCACATTTCTTGTTAGCATGAAAATACTGATGCCCTGGGAACAGAAAAGCATGTTGTTGAAAGCGTAGTGTATCAATATATCAGTAAGTGAAGCGGATCATGCTACTCTGAACTACCTTGGAGGAGTAGTTGATTTCTTAAGACCCTATCTTTTGAGTTGACCCAAGCCCATGGTCCCCAGAGGAACATTCACACCTTGGTAGAACATCTGATGATATCATATTTGTCGTTTTACAGGCAGCCTTTTAGAATGACTTTTCTGCGGTGTTCTGTCCATGGTGCTGATCCATCAGCCAGTTGATCCTCCAATTAGAGGAGCTGTAACTTGCTTTTGACTGATGGGATCTAATGTAGTGTCACTATAAAAGTGATCATTAAATATCCACTAAATAGTTTCAGGAACTGTTACCTATTTAACTGTTTAATTTGCTTGTAATACTAGTTACTTCTCTTTCGTGTCCTGAAAATCCAAGCTATTTCTTTAAAAATTTAAAAGTTAAAGTGGAAAGGTCTGTTCTGGATATAGTATACATATTTTGAAATATTATTTGTTAACCAAGCTATAACAAATTAATTTCCATTTCAAAATTAAAACTTGCCTCTCCCATTACTTCACCAATGGTCAGATACCATGACAGAACAACTTTTACAATATGCCAATGCTTTTCATTCCATACAGCAATATAAATAATGGAAAATTCTTAATTATTTCTTGATGTGCATACATAAGAGACAACAATTTTTGCTGCTATGAAGTGTCATAGTAGGGAGATGAAAAGTGGATATGTCCCTTTTGGTCAAAGTATTGCAGTAAAATCACCAAATTAAACATAGAATGGGCATGTTAAATGTGGTAGATGTATACATGAAGTAACATTACAGAGTAATAATAATCCCTCTCACTATCAGGTAAAGTTTCACAGAGGAAGTCTTGCAGGGTATTTAGCAGGAACATGAAAGAAAGGCCTTCCAAAAAGGTGATATCATGACATTAGTATTGTTGTTTAGTGATATGAAGTTGAGTCTGCAAACATAGTGGTGGGAGGAAATGCTGGAAGGTGAGGTTGTTCTCACAGGTTGGGGGGTATTTGGACTTTGTGATGAAGACCATGGGACTTGCTGTAGGAAAGTGAGGGCATCTCTCCGTCTCTGAGAGAAAGTTCTCTCCCTTCTAGACCTTTGGACTTAGAGCTCTTCTGGAAATAGTATGCTGAGAGAGTACTTGAAACATGCAGGGATTTGAGCAAAATAATTTGTAGGGTTTATTAATTTTTATCTTTATCTGTTAAGCATATAGAAGCTAACTATATGTCAGGTAAAATGTTAAATACTGAACACAAAGTGGTGAAAATGAGACATGATTTTTACCCTTAATGAGCTTATATTCATTAAGGATACAAGTCATGCACAATTAAACATATAAGTGAGTAGGATAATTTCAAGTTATAGATACTTAGAAGAAAATAAATAGGATGATGGACAGACACTATAGCAGGTATTACTTTAGAACCAAGGAAATGGGTCAAACCAAGAAAACCAAGTTTTCTCTAGGGCTTTTATTTTTTAGCTCAGTCTGAAAGCTGTGTGTGCAGAAGCTATAGATGTGCAGTTTGTGGAAAAGCATTCCTGGGAGGGGCATATAGCTAGTGTATAATAAAGGCCATTTATTATACCATTT